TGTATGATGAGTGGTGTATGATGAGTGGTGTATGATGAGTGGTGTATTGATGAGTGGTGCATGAACAGTTCTTGAATGTCCGTAACACGGAAGTTTCGTTCACTAAACTTCCTTTGATCAATTCCAAGGGGAGTGGGGGTTGAATTGAGAGATCAATCAATAGACCCGGACGACCCAACACTTGCTTCGCAAGACAAACTCAAGGTATCCCTTGAGGGCTACCTTTCGTGATTATATAGATACGGATTTTTACTCTATGTATGCATGACCTCAATTGGTCTTGCCGTTTTGTCAGCTGGGAAAACACGTTGTAAAAATAAAAAGGAAGGCAGGGCCGGTCAAGGCTTGTGAAGGGCAATGTTATCATTTGGGGGCTTGAAGTCCTGGAGTCTAGCTCGTTCTCAAGCTGATTTTGATGACCAAGAATATACTCCAATAACAATCATCACTTCTTTGTTCATATACTAAAAGCAAGGAAACTACCTTCTTTCAAGCATGCCCGGAATCGTCGCATGCGTTTGTGATACACAAAAAGGTTTTACTGTGGTCATTATATATCTTGTCTGAATTGCTGTGCAATTTGCATGCAGCCACACAGTTGTTGTTCATCAACGAGACCTTTCGACCAATGTGCATCAACACTGATGTACGGTCTACAGGCACTGCAGTCGGCACTTGCACCCTCAAAGCAAATATCTGAGTTCGCCAGAAGCTGCTGAACGTGCCGGTAGTCTCACAGCTGAATTCGGCTGAAGCTATCGCCAGCACACAGCTGAACGAATTGTCCGAAAGTTTGCAAATAGTTCTCTCACATCTGCTCGCCCAGGAAGGCAGCCACGGAGGCCACAGGCCAAAGAGGGAGAAGTGCTGATCTCAGCCCTGCACGCAGCTGAAGATCTCTCCCCACTTCTATCTTATCCACACACCCATGTCTAAAACGGAAATGCTTCAGTTACACTCTGACAGCATTACGTCTGCCAAGACTTGGCACAGTCTTGTCGCAAAGAAAGAAAGGCCTTCTTGCCGCAGGCAAGCAGCTCTGTGAACGCCTTTCCTGCCAGGTACACATGACACAAGGCATCAAAAGAAATATAGTATAACATTATGTGTATATATATATACACACATAGTCACTCATGATTAGACAGTCATGATGAATGTCTGGAGGTCGGAACTCGCAGGCCAGGATGCGAGATCTAGAACGCACAAACATTGTATTAAAGATTGATCAGGGTGAAGAAGGAAGCATGCGCCAGCTGATCAAAAGGTACCCTGCAGCTTGCATCTACATTGCAAGTGCCACTAAACTACAGAACCAGTACAGTAATCCAGCAAAGAAAGTGCTCGCAGTACGATTAAGCTCGCCAGGTCTTCTCCAAACATCCTCCTGAGGAGCCATGTGAGCAGCAACTGCTAATCAAGATTTGGGAAGAACACTGATTTGACAAGCCTTCCAATCTTATCTTTGCCTATCAGGAGCTTGGACAAGAAATGACAAGACCTTGACCTTGCCCATAAAAGGATCTTGCAGTGAAATTATGTTGCTGCTCATGTTCCTAGGTCCATCATTGCATGCCATCGCCGAGCCTCAGGAGGTTTATTAACGACATGGAAGAGACTATATGTAAGGAAAAGGTTACTGTATTTGCATTCCTGTGATGCATAGGATGTGGCTGATTTAACCCAAAGAAATAGTTACAAAGTAACAGTGTGATTTCTGTTGCTTACATATTCTTATGTGCTTATTTGATTAATCTTACTTGCTTACTTATTTACGTACTTACTTGCTTAATTACTTACTTACTCACTTACTCCCTGACTTACCTACTTACTCACTGACTTACCTACTTACCTAGTTATTTGCTTACTTGCTCACTTGCTTGCTTGCTTGCTTGCTTCCTTACTTCCTTACTTCCTTACTGATATACTGATAAACAATATACTTGCTTGCTGGCCCGCTGGCTGGCTGGCTTGCTTGCTAAAGCTGGTGAGGTGGTGAGGTGGTTCCATCCCGCTGGTCGAAGTAATTCAGTTTCTTAAGCAGCTCTGTGCAAGACACTAATATCTAAGTCATGAATGCACCAAGTGCTGAGACCAAGACCAGGTCTTTTTTGTGGCCTGGCAAGCTCTCATGAATAACACAAGGTATCAAGTTCTCAGCTCTTCAACTCTGCCATAACAAAAGCTACTTGGTACCCAGTTCATCAATTTTAGTTCCTGCTCCTCAAAAAAGGAGGCCAGAACCCTTGAACCCCATGGGGCAATTGATGGCAGTTGACGACACCAACCCCACAGTGCTTGGGGTGCGGGGCTCTCGAAGCCTTTCCGTGCTGCAGGTGCAGGTTTTGCGGGGGCAGAGAGTTTCAAGCGCGCTGCTCCACTCTCAACCTCAGCCAGCCCACCAATACCTTCATCTCGAAATCTTCGGAATAACTTATAAAACAGTTTGGATTCACCATCTTCTTGAACAAAACACGCGTTCTTCATGTTCCTGCAAAAGCATTGCAACTGTGACCTGAAAACGATGGGTTTCTGATAGCTCTCAGTGGTTCTGGCCTCTTGAGCGATCTGAGCTGGGGCTCCTTGAGCAAGAGGAGTATGAGAACAGGAGGACAGGTAGGCTGACAATCTGTTGGCACTGCCACTAAAGATCGAGATCCCAAAAGAGTTGCCCTGCGGTAAAGCTGCGGCAGTGCAAGTTTACCAGGCATTCTGCATCATAAGGTTGATAGTACAATAAACAATAGTGCGGATATTATTGAACAGCATATGTTGTATCAGCTGCAAGAGTATCAATAGACAATGTTCCCGAAACAAGCTACACTGACATGATATTGTATCTCTGATCCAGATCACAGGATGCCCAGCCTGTCAAGGCGGCAAATGCTGCTGGTATATCACCTTTACAGGGAGAGCAGAATGAGAGTCAAGCAGCTACTGTATGCTCTTGCTTGCAGCGTGCCAATGTCCAGAGGGATTGGTGAGCGATTCGCCTTTGATTCCTCTTCCCCTTGATTCCTCTTTCCCAGGCTGCCTTCCAATTTTTCAGGCTCCCTGTTCACCTGGAAATCAGACAACTCCTAGTCACCTGTCTGACTGTTTTGCTCTCTCAACCAAACAACTAGCATGACCGCATGACCACGACTACCTGCAAGCAGCATAGATTACCTTTGCTATGGCAATCAATTCGATTATGTCAACTTGATGAAAGGATGAAGTTCTACTCTTTGTAGTCCGCCTTATTTGATGAGCCTTTGGAACCAGTAGGACCTCAGCAATCGAAAAGCCATCTGAATCTGAGAGCGGGTCTTGTGACTTGTGTACAACGGAGCAAAACGTTCAAGGTCCCCAACTGTGATTTAATTATTTGTAATAACGATGTCTTATGCAATACTTTTATCCTCAATATATATATATACTTATATATTATATATATAGTTGTTTTATATTATAATATATATATATATAATTGTTTGACTAGTCTGACAAGTCCTTGTCTTACCACCTGGAACTAGAACTCAGGCAAGGCCAAGCAACTCTCCCTCTCTCTCTCTGCATTGCGCTACGAGTACTTTGTGGCACACATTGGCAAACACCAAGGCCATTACGGCTGGGATTCTTCACTGGCGCCTGCTTTGGATTGGAGGGCAGCAATGTGCAAGAAAAAATGATGGACACTAAAAATAAAGCGAGCGACTTGTCAAAAAGCGCCCGTAACATTTATTGGTACCTTCCACTCCATCGTCTCACCCTCTTTCAAAGCTCCTCAGTTTCTTTGAATTGATGGCAGTGACCGCATGGGAGGCCGACTTGGCATACTTGGCCGCCTGAAATTACAATGCGGCAATGTTAGGGTTCGCACGGTCGTCTTTGGTCCTAGGCTTATCCTCAGCTCTGGTCCCGGTTCCCCTCAAGTCTTTGAGCAAATCAGCGCAAAAAAAGGATTGGCAGTTGGAGCAGTTCAATTCAGCTAGCCTTCAGCATGGATCATCCTAGAAAAGGCTGTGGGTCAACACACCATGGGCCATTAGCTTGCAAATGGATGTTCGATATGGCTCGATGGGCTTTGACCGCCATGTCTGTTCCAGCTCTGAGCTAGCCACTCTCGATGCGGAAGCCTCAAAGCACTCAGATCAGAAGCAAAAGAGAATCAGTATTAAAAGTATTCAAAGACTACATATCAAAGACCACAAGGAATCTTGGATTACCACCTGAGTGACTTGAAGCAGCTTCTTCAAAGCTTGCGAAACCTCAAGATGTATGAAACTTGAAGGAAAGCACTCCAACGACTTCCATTCATAGCTGCATACATTGTTTCTGGAGCGGTTGTTACATGTATCACGTGCAAAGCGGGTTCCAATGGGTATCCAAGCATGCCAGGATTTAACAACAAATCGCGCGAGGTCATTTTCTACGAGATCTAATCTTCATGTCGGGGTCTTGAAGAACACTCTTGACGAGCTCATCTTCAAGGGGCTTCGGTGATCGCTTTGGCCTCTTGGGTTTCCAGCTCAGCCTGGTGCGTGACCTTGAAGGTTGTGGCAGCGAGCAGCCCGGCCAACAGCTCCACCAAAGCATAGGCCACGCTGCTGACAAAACCGCTGCCCGACAGAGCGAGGCCCACAGAAACGGCAGGATTCAATGCACCGCCTGAAACGTTGCCCATGGCAAAGCCGCCCACCACCACGCAAAAGCCAATGGCTAAGCCAAAGAACTGAGAGCTCTTCGTCACCGAGGAGACGGCAACACAAAGGACCACGTAGGCCAACAAGAATGTGAAAATCAACTCTCCAAGCAAAGCCTGTGTCAGGTGATATGACCCTTTTGGTCCAAACCTGCCAAATTCGCGGCCAAACATGCCCACCGCAATGATCGCCGCAGTGGTCCCGGACAGCACTTGGACCACCCCATAAAGAGCGGCCTTGCGATGCAAATTCAATCAGTTCACCTACTGTAACAAACCAAGCTTTAAGTAGAAGCCTCATGTGTTGGCATATATATATATATATATCCATAGTAAGTATGTTTACAGGAAATCAGCCTAAAGCGCCCAGCTTTTTCCTTGAGCCAAACACGAGAGTATAGAGGTATATTTACCGTAATGAACAATGCTTACTTAGAAAATACACCCCCCGCGGAGCGGAGTGGCTTCGCCACGGCGCGCCGAAGAGGAAGTTGTAAGCAATGTTCCAACCTCAGGCGGCGATGACATCAAACCGCACTACAACCCTCGAGCTACTGCATTCGAATGCGGCATGTCGGCACAAATGCAAAATGCTCTTAGTTTATCAGATCAAGATGAAAGCAAATGTGGGGCAATCAAATCTTTTCTCTGATGCGGAGCTGGCGACAAGTCTTCGCTTGTGCCGGATTGGCAAAATACCTCAGAAATTGCGATATGCAATGAGGTTCACAAAAGAACGATGGCGATGCCTTCCGGCACGCTTATCTCACTGGGACCTCTTACCGTTCCATCCTCGAGAAAAACGTACACAGATCGCAATGACCATCGAATTATATGCAAATTTAGCTGACTGAAGGGTTTACGGCAGAGCGTTCCCGCTCGCTTCATGAGGGCATGCATGGAAAGTAACACGCCAACGAATTGTAATTTCCGGCGTGACCTTCCGGTCCGCATGGCAAGAAGGTATTCTCTGCTTCTTCAATCCCTTTCTGTATGGCTTCTCAGCGGTTCCACCAGCCTCCCTTGGATGAAGACCACCAGTTGGAGGAAGATGACGACCCTGCCAAGAGGATCGCCAAGAGTGGCTCCAGTCCCATGAACCTGAGCCCCAGGAACCTCCCCATCTTGGTTCCAGCTGCTCTGCCAGCTGCCCTGATACTGGCTCTTTCCCTTGCCTTTACCTTTACCCTTGCCACGACCCTTCACTTCTGGGCAGTCGCGTGCGCGATGGTCGGGCGAGCCGCACTCGAAGCAGAGTTTGGCATCCTTCCCACTGCCTTTTGATCTTGGGTCGAAGGCCGTCTTCGTGCTTTCCTTGGCGGTGGATCTTCGCTCTGTGAGCTTCACCTCTGGGAAGCGACCCGAAAAGATCGTCATGTCTGAGTACTCTGTGCAGGCACGGGCCCAATTGCGTTCAGCAAATTCGACCAAGTCGCTCAGGATCTGAACGGCGTCGCCTTCCGGCACGCATTCCAGGCTTCCCCATCTCTCCACAGCAACCACGGGCTCATTCCGTGTCCGGGCCAGTGAGCACCACATCGAAAACTGCTTCAAATTGAAAAAGCGGTTGTGCATGGTGACACACGAACGATTCGTCCTCGATGGACAAGGCCTCGGTCGGATCCCGGGTGATGGTGGGAATGAAGCACAGTTTGGAATGGTGCTCCCTTTCTTGATCGTCAAGGGCTCTCTTTCTTTCTTGAGCACTTCGTCCAGGGTTGGCGAAGATTGCTCGGGCCAATCTGTGGAGAAAATTGAGCGACCCCGACGTCAGCTGGGTCGTCGAGCAGTTGTAGGCGAACAACGGGTCGACTTCTAACCGCCTGGCTGGCCCCGGAAGCCCTAGCTGCTTGGCCTTTCGGACGTAGTTGACGGCAAGCCTTTTGATGAGGCCACAAATGCCGATTTGGCTCCTCGCTGCTGCTCACCTTTTGACGTGTCTTTTACGACATTCGCCTTCCGATAGGCTCTGGTATAGACAACTGGTCCAGGGCAACGACGGACTCGTTGAGATTAGCCGTCTCCTCCATTCTTGCCAATTCGCTCGCGGAGCGAGCATCTGACCAGATCTGAAGGTCCTTGCGACAGTAGTCGCATCGGTGCTGCCCATCATAGTGGCGCGTAGCACACAGGGGCGTCGGGCACACCCTCTTAGGGATCTGGACAATTTCGTTCGCCATCATGTCATCGTCCTCGATGTCACGGAACTTTCCTTTGCCCTTGCCCTTCTTGCCCTTGGACTTGCCCTTGGATTTGCCTTTTCCTGCCCAACCAGTCATCTCTTCGTTGGCGATGATGCAAACCTGTCCCAGCATAAAGCCGGTCAGTTCAGGCGGCGGACCCTCCCGGGACGGTTGGCATGTGTGAGTGCTACCTCATCGATGATGCCAGTCATCCTGGTCGCGCCCTTCATGAGGTTCGTCTCGCCTACTTTCAAGTGGCGCTGGTTGCGGCGTGCGTTGTTGAGCATAAAGTTCTTGGCTTCGGCTAGCTTGCTCAGGCGGAACTGCGGATCATCAGTGGAATGCTTCTTGATCTCTTCGCGATAGTTCTGCCGTGTCTTAGCATACGCTCGATTGAACCAGACGAACTGGTTGGATCTGGCGTCGTATGCGTACATCAGTGCAGCATTTGAGACCCAGTCCAAACTGAGGATGCTCTTGCGCGTGGCAAAGACCCTACAGCCGAGCTGCATGACAAGTTCAGCGTCGAACGCCAGGTAAATTGGCTGACCGGCTCGCGTTCCCGCAAGCTTGCGCATCTGGGCCTTCCATGGTGGGCAGGTGGGAAGTAGTTGTGGGCCCTGCCAGTCTTCTTCGGAAATCCACCAGGAATCAGCCCAGTGCCAATGATGCTTTCCATCGCGGCACGGTCACACGAGTGGTACAACACCCTCGGCAGAGAAGAGAGGAACTCTTGGTCCGGGGTCATATTGAATTGGTACGTGGGAGCTTCCCTTCATCAATCATCTTCGGCGTATACTCTGGGTCGAGCGAGTAGACGCGCTTGATGAAGTTGGAGTGCCCTAGCTTGTCCGTCACCCAACGATTGTGGCCTTGGACAGCTTTGACGCCAACTGGCTCATACGGCAGACCTTTCCAGGTCGCCCCCACGGCGTTCCCCGGCAAACGAGTCTTCAGCTCGAACCTCTCGTCCTCCGAATTCTTAATCACCAGGAGAACTTCCCACTCTCTGCATTGAATTGGTAGATGCGCTTCTGGAGACACTCAATCAGTGGCTTCCAGGCTTTACTTCCGTCTTCTTCGAATTCTGGGGCGTCGAACCCCTTCAGCTCCTTGTGGCCACGAAGATGAGACGTAAGCTCCTGTGAGATCCACTTGAATCGTCCCCATTCCACGTCACGGCGCGGAATCTGGCGCAAATGTTCTGGGCCAAGCCAGACCTCCTGCCCAGGAAGCTGAGCGAACTCCAGGTCCTTATACTCGGATCCTCAGTGTCGATCGCTCGCATGGTGGGCTCCAAGTTGGGTCGCCGCGCCTGCTTGGGCTGGGCCTTCGGCCTCATGGCCAGCCTTTCTGCCTCTTTCCATTTCTTGAAGCGTGCATCACGCTCCTCTTTCTCCCCCGGACAACGATGCGACCGGTTTTCTCGTCGACGAAACTCAACTCCTCGTAATGAGCCTTGGCCTCAGCCGCGGCCTTCTCCAGCTCGGTGAGTGTGGGTTTCGGCGAACCTTCCGGCACGCTTGGCGGCTTGGGCTTTTCGGCAGATGGCTTCTTCTTTGACTTATCCTCAGCATCATCGTCTCCAGTGAGGTCGACCTCCATGGGCTTGGCATCATCTGACTTTGTGTTCTCATCAGTGGCCTGACCATGGGTCGTTTCGGCGGCTTCGCCCTGACACTCCTCAATTGTCGCATCAGGGGCCTCCTCGACCGCTCCTTCCGCCTCGGTCGGTTGATCGACTTCTCCTTGGCCTTCGGGAGCGGCTTCTTCATCCACCTTCTTCTGCTCCCCTTGGGCCTGTTCGTCGATATCCATGGGTTCGGGCCTCTCAACTTCATCGGCCTCTGAACCCTTGACAGACTTGAGGCCGCCGAATCCGCATCATCGTCGTCCCAGTCTGGTTGCTCCTCCTCCGGATGTTCAACGATCACATAGGACTTTTCGGTGCGGACATCGGCAAAGGCTTCATCGTCGGCCTTTTCTTCCTCGTTCTTGGGCGGCGGAAGCGGCACCTCAACTGGCGGGATGAATGAGCTGGTACCCGGGTTCTTCTTCTTCTCCTCGATGGCTCGTTCCCATTCGTCGAAGTCGAGCGTGTCTCCTTCGTCCGGGACTTCCCATGGAAATTCTTCCACAAGCTCTTGTCCACCTTGCGGAGTTGGCAAGTCGGGGTACAGCTCTTTCATGATGATGCGATGCCTTTCATCATGCTCACTTTCATCCAGTTCTTCTGCATCGATGGGCAATCGCAACAGGTCATCGGGGTTGATCTCCTGAGCCAGCACGTGGCTGGTGTCCTTCAATCGCACGACGTCTGCCTCTTCTTCTTGCAGCAACCAATTCATTATCTCTTGGTCGACTGCATCCACAATGTCGGCCGGGTTCAGCTCAATCTGATCCACGGCTCGCCTTCCGGCAAGCAGCAAGCATAAGGTCTGCGGCAGCTCGAACCTCCGAGATGGTAGGGTACCTGAAGAGGAATTCCATCAACTGCAAATCTCCTTCGCCCTCACCGGCGTTCAAGATGGTCAACGGTTCAATCTCTTCTTTGTACTGCATCACCTGGAATGTTCGAAAGGCACAGGTTGCAATGCCGGAGTAGACAGCAACGCCCCATTTGAGGGTCTGGTAGCACTCGATCATGTGGAATTGATCGCGGTAAAAGACCTGGGACGACGTCGGATCAACACACGGGACCCCTCTTGAAATCAGGTATCCGTAGTGCTCCCCTAGATGCCTGTTGTAGGCTTTAGGCAAGTCGAAGTCTTCGGCCGGAGCATTTCCGACAACGACCAACTCAGCCACATCAGACCGGTTTCGCAGTGCGATAAGCCGTTCAACACTTTCGCGTACACGAGTAAGCTGTGCATATGGCCAATCGGCTGCGACCTTCCGGTCCGCCTCTGTCTTCAAAAACTGTTTCTGGTTGATCCATTTACAGCCAGCGTAGCCGTAATCCCCGTAGACATCATTTCCGCTCCAGGGTACCAAGACGACCGCTTTTCTGTTTGGATTACCATTTCTTTTATTGCGTTCAGCCATGTCCTGCAA